CAAGTGAAAGGCGCTTTAAGTGCTTTCATCCAAAAATCCCCTGCTGATTACCCCAAGCTTTCCTCATTGCAGCCACACAATTCAGCGAGGCTGGGACGAGGAGTCAAGCCCTTGCCTGCATGTGATTGTTAACCAACTGAGAGCCGGAGCACCTTGCAGAAATCCTGCAAGCAACGCAGCAGACCTCGTGGTGTGTTTTGCCCGCTCCGCTCCGGCTGTAAAACAGTGTAACAAACAACAACAAAACTCAGCAGACAAAATACATAGCAGGGTTCAGAAGTATGATTAAAGAGAAAAGTTTTAACTTTTTAACTCCCACTGTTTACAACTTCTCCCCATTTGCAAATATTTACCACGCCAGGTTCTCACCCTTGTAATGAAATAGGCTCTGGAGGCAATCTTTGAGTTGCCACAAGTAACTTTTTTGTGGTGACAAACTTAACCCTGTGTCTTTTAGGAATGCCCTTTCTCTCCCTTCAAAAACAGCAACTCTAAAGGCATCTTTCCCTTACAGCTCACGGTATTTAATGCATTTGCTTTCTGTTGTGCTTGCACATCATGGTGAGAAGACTGGACTAAGCACAGCTTCCTAAAACCTTCCTTGGGTGCCCAGAGCAACGAACCCATTAACGGCGCATCACCTGCATGCAGGTTTTCCGCAGAAAGCCTTCCCCAACCTGGTGCCCTCCAGTTATTTTGCAGCATAGTTTCTCTTGTTCCTGAGCCTCAGTTATGCTGGCTGGGGCTGCCAGAAGCGCTCACCCCAAACTTCTGGAAGGCCGCCTGACCCCGTGCCTTTTGTGACGTGAGGTGGCCCTAAGCAGAGCGGGAAGGACATTCCACTCCAGCACAAAAGTCTTCTTTTACTGCAGCTACACGTGTTCTCGCCGATCTAAGAGAACAGGTCCTGGCGCCAAGCTCCTTGAGTCATCTGTGGTTTAGACTCACGTTGTGCAGGAATCCTGCAAGCACACGCACTGACCTTAAGTGAGCCTCACCAGTCCGCCATCAGGACATCTTTGCCTGCTTTGCTGTGCTCCCTTCCCGCACTGCAGCGCGCCACAGCTTTTTCAGCCCCGGGGTGACATGGGCCAGGCCACGCTGCTGGCCTCCACAACCTGCCCACACAGATGGAGGGCAGCTGGAGGTGTGTGCAGAGGGAAAGGCCATTGCCACAGATTGCCACGGGAACTGCAGCAGGACAGCAAGGAGTCCGAAAGCCACAGGGTGCTGCGTTTTCCACCTCACAGGGGCACAGTGGGTTGTCCACCCCGCTACGCGGTCTTCCCAGCCTGCCAAGATTCTAGTTTGCACCCAGCTGAGCGAGAAACCTGCCTCTCTTTGCCTCTCCGCAAAGTACACTAAAAGAGGTGCCAAAGTTAACGGATAATGCATCTCTTTCTCCGGGCCAGCTCACGCCATCCCAGCCCTTCAAATAGTTACGCTCAATTCACACAAAATTCAGAGAGGAGGAAGCCTGATTTTGGACAGCTGCTGTCACCGGGGGGCTAGTTTAGCACCCACCTATTTATTTCCCCCCAGATTGTCATTTGCTAGCCATGTTTACACAAAGAAATCACTGAGCTTGGAAATGCTGCAGAAGGCCTCAAACCATAGACCCACCCAGCCCAGTTCTGTCAACACTGACTGGCAGCTGCCGCAGTTCTCTGGGATTCTGCGCAGACCGTTTTCCAGCTCTGCTAAGAGATGATCGCAATCCAACCCGGGACCTTTCACATGCAAAGCAGGGGCTCCACCACAGAGCTACAGCCCCTTTGCAAGGGAGAGGCAACCAACCCCTCACTCTCTGGGATTCTGCTGGAGACTGAAAATCTTGAAGGGAAAACTCATGCAGCACAAGCTGTCTCCTCTACCACTGAACTCTTTGAGGTGGGAGACTCCATGCAGGAAAGATGGCCCAACAATGGACTGCACAGAAAGATGCTGTGCACTCAACATTCCACTGAGAGGGGGGTAATACTGTCCAGCCAGACATCAGCCATTCATTTTCGAGATGCACTTGGCAGCGTTTGGTATTATTTTAGTCAATAAAAGCAAGAGGAAAGGGCTTTCTGTTTGATAAGGTATGTCTCCACTTGAGGTTCAGAAGAGTCCTGCTGGATCCAACCAAGTCCATCTACGGCAGCAGCCTGCCAAGTCATTCCTGGGAGGCCTCCGATGAAGAATGTGGAGGATCTGGTCGGCTGAGAAACATGAACTAGAGGATGCTATTCTGTCCGAAGTCAGACTTTTGTTCTCCCTAACAGTACGGCAGGTATTGCTCCTGAATGCTCAGTCTCACATTCTGCTACCAGATCCTTTTAAAAGGTGATGTTGAGGATTGGCAGTGAGCTCACCTGCATGCAAAGCAGGTGCTTCAGCGCTGAGCAAAGGCCCCCGACTGACTGACCAACAAAGAATTCATCTCATTCTTTTTCAAAAGCGATCTGAGCGAAAGGCCATCCCTGCCACATGCTGGGGCACTGAATTCCCAAAGGTAATTGCACACTGTGTGAAACCGTGCATCCTTCTGTCAGCTCTGAACTTGCCACCACTCCATGCGATGAAGTGGCCTGATCTTGAGCCACATCCTGAGGGTGGCAGGTGATGCTGGCTTGCGGGCCACACATGTGCAAACACACTCGTGCCTGCACAAGCTCATGCATCCACCAGCCATGCAGATGCAGAATCTTTCCACTGTGCTCCCCATGATGAGGAGGGAGTAATATGCAGTGGATCCCAGGGGGAAAGAGCAGGGTACCCAGACAGTGCTGAAACTGGCAGGGGATGGACAGAACACCCTTGGAAAAGTAAAGGATTTGAAGGCCTTGAAGGGCCGCAAGCTGGGCACCCTGATTTAGCCCAAGTTAATGCCACCTCAGGTTGGCAGAAAATGGGAGGGGAGCTTTCTTAGCTTAGCGATCATCCAGGCATTAAACTGGAAATATTCTAGGAGCAAGTCTCAGCACCATAATGCATACAAGTCCTTAAAAACACAAGATGGTAAAGGTATCTTACTCAGCAGCATCTCCTGTCACCACCCTGCATTAGGTAAGACTTCTAACCTTAACACAGGTTACAGTTGAGAAAGCCTTAACCTGGAAGATGCTGAACTATAACACCTGATGAGTGCTGGGGTCCACCGTCTCCTTGAAGGCCACACATTCCCCTCACCTGCCTTGACCCTCCCTACCCACCTTGGCTCCGGAATCTTCCAAGAAGCAAGCAAGCATGAGGGCCAGCCAGCTAACTGAGATGGGGATGAAGGGCCATCCTGAAGTGCGGGGCTGAAATGGCCAGGCCTGAGGATTAAGACGCCATCAAACCCCTGGGGAGCCGCCTGGCCGGAGGCTGAGAGGGAGGGAGGCGGAAGACACGCAAGGTAGGCTCCTCTTCCTGTGTGAGGGGGGTAAGGTCAGCACCAGTGCAAATACTGGAGGGAGGGAAAAGGGGGCAGTGCAAATTGGGGAGTGCATGGACATGCCGGGGGGGGGGGGGGTGCTGAGACACACATCAACTCTGAGGAAAGCTGGGGGCAGCAACACAAATCCTGCAGCCAACAACTGATATTGGGAAATGTGATGACAAGGCTAATTTACTTTTGGGAGAAAAGCAAGTACCACACCAAAGGTGGGGGGGGGCTGGGGGAGAACAGATGAAGGTGAAGAGAATATCCTGCTGTTCTACTTTACGGGGTGTATCCTCTGGTGAGAAGGAGAAGGTGTTCATTCAAAGAACACAGAATGTTTTCAGCTAAAGGGGCTGAGAGTTGAAGGAATGGAGACAGTATCAAAGGAAAATAAGAGGAGGGGGCTTGCCTGCCTTGAGGTCAGGTGGGAAGACAGAGGGACCGTGGGTGTCGGTGCAAGACCCAACTGGAGGTAGGCTATGTGGATGCCACTGCAATATATAAATGGAGGTCAGCTGAGCAGGATGGTCTGTGGGAAGAGAGGGAGAGGATGCCCTATCAAGACAAAATTGGGTGGTGGGGGGACTGGCTTGGCCTGAATAGGGGGAAGGTAAGGACACATGCAAGTTGTGAGAATGGCCTGGGCGGTGGGTGGGGTCAAAGCTGAAGGGTCAGCGTGAAATGAGGGCACAGAAATGTCAATGGAAACCATGATGGGTGGGGCTGTCAGAAAGGTGAAGCGTCCGTGCTAAATCGGTACGTGGGCGCACACGCATGTGCGAGACAGATGAGAACACCCTGGCTTTCATCCGCAAGGGCCACAGGCTGTGTGAAGGGCAGGAGGGTGTGTCCGTGCCCTGCATAGGGGGGAGTCACCTGACCTGGGGCAAGGGGGCAGGGGCGGGGGGACGGGGACTCACCAGGGATGTCAGGGCATCGGCACAATCCGTGCTTGTGGGTGACTGCGGGGTAGAGAAATGAGAACCCCCATGGCGTTTGTCGGAAAGGGTCACAGGCTGCACGTGTGGGGGGGGGGCGGAGCAAGGCAAAAGAGGGTGTCTCTACGCCAAATATAGGAGGGGGCTGCCCGACGGGGCTGGGGGGGGGGCTCGCACTGGGGGGAAATGGGAGCATCCACGCAAAGCATGCGCAGGGGAGGGGGTGAGCGGAGAACGGCAGAGCCAGAAATGACCGTGGGCGGGGGGGCTGCCAACGGGGGCGGGGGGCAGTCACCTGATCGGAGGCCAGGGCTTTGCAGACGGGGCGCGGGGAAGAAACCTGAAGGGAAACCCACAGGGCAAGGGGGCTTTTCCACGCACACTCGGCATGGGGAGGGAGTCCCCGTGCCAAGCACAGGCGGGAGCTGCCTGGGGCGGGGGAAGAAGCCACTGGAAGGCTGCCGGGGGGGCAAAGCGGGCGTGCCTGCGGGGCGCGGATGGCCGACCGGGGGGCGGTTTGAGGCACGGCCGCGCGAGGCCGGGCTCTGGCACCTCGGGGGGCCCCCTCGCGCCAGGCCCAGCCCCACGGCGAGGCCCGGCCCGGCCCGGCCCGGCCCGATCTGCCTTCCCCTCCCGCGTCGGGGGAAACCAACCTGTGGGGCCAATGCTCCGTCGCCCCTTTCACCTTCACCCTCTCCTCTTCCTTCCTCCTCCTCCTCCTCCGCGCCGCCGCCTCGGCCTCCGCCGCCGCCGCCGCCACCCGCTCAGGCACAGACACCCACTTGGCCGCCACAACTGCGCATGCGGGGGACAGGCGCGCCCACGGCAGGACGGGAAACGTAGTCCCGCCGCCAGAGGGGCGGGGAAGAAGAAGCGGGGGAACGGGTGGGGGAAGGAGGAGAGGCCTGGTCTACCTGTTTAGGAAGTGGTAGAATCCTCCGGGAGTGTGCGGCAGAGCGAGAGAGAGAGAGAGAGAGAGAGAGAGAGAGAGAGAGAGAGAGAGAGAGGGCGGTACCATGTCTGGAGTGGGGGTGGTTAACGACTTATTGGGACTCGTGGGATTGGCCAGTCACTGTCTCTTGGCCTAGCCTACCTCAGTGGGTTATTGTTATAAAAATGGAAAGGACTATTTTATGAACCACTTGGAATTCTTGCAAGAGGAAGAAATGTGGGATATAAGCGCAGTCATAATAAAATGCAGGTGAAAAATTAGAGGGTTTGATTTTGATTTTGAGTCTGACCTACCTCACAGGGTGGTTGTAGGGATAAAAATGCAGAAGAGTCGGATTCTGTAAACCACCCCAGGTTCTTTGCAAGAAGGGAAGACGTGGGATAGAAATGCAATAATAGATAATGCACATGGAACAAGTAATGATGTTGTTGTTGCTGTTATGCTTATTATTAATACTAATAAGCATGCCATTTAAGCCAAAACAAGTATAACAGAAGTACAGACATTTGGGAAAAAGATTCTCAAAACCTTTACTGCTTAACCCTGCCGCCTCCTCCTTCCTCCTCTGTTTCTTCAATTGTGGCTATTCTCTTTGTTAAATCCCTTGGGACAGAGACCTGGCACACCCCCAGCTAATTCTAAGGCACCATGTGCAGAGACAGGGCCATCTTATCCTTTACTAGGATAACAATCATCATTAAGTTACTGCTTCCCAGGAGACAAATCCTTATGTGGTGTCTTGTGACCAAAAAAAAAAAAAGAATATAAATAAATCAGCATGGCTTGTTAAAAAGAATAGTGTATTCATACGAAGACTTGTAGAAAAGGGCAGTCTCAATGCCTCTTTGAGAAAGAGGAGAGAGACTGGGCATGACTGGGTTCTTCCAGGAGCAAGTGCCACGAGCATGGGCCAACCACCAAAAAGGCCCTGTTCCTGAAAGCCAGCAGAGAATCCGGGCTTCCTGTTCAGATGTTCTGCGTTGGTGTGCCTGGCCCGTTTGCTTCCGCTCGGCCTCTTTCACCAGGGGAGTGCCCAAGCCAAGCATGGACTGAAAGAGCGGCGCTTCAGCCGTGGGGCAGCCTTGTCATCGTCGTTGACCATGCCGTCATGTGTGACCCTTGGCCACTCCATGGATCATCGCTGCCCAAGCCCCTCTGTCGCATACTGCTTCCTTCAAGACCTCCATGCCATCCCCGTCTCTTTCTTTAGGGCATCCAGCCAACGGGCCCGGGGCGGCCCCCTCTCCTTTGCCCGCCGATCGCTCCCAGCAAGACTGGCATTCTGAGTGAGTCGGTGCTCCTGGCATGGCCAAAGCATGTTTGGCAGGCTTGGCTTCAAGTGATATTTTCGGTGAGCCTCACTCTAGGACTTCTTTCTTTGTGGTTCTTGCAGACCACGCGCTGCGCAATCATTGTCTCCAGCACCACAATTCCAAAGCACCCATCTTTCTTCTATCTGCCTTCTTCAGGGTCCAAGTTTCACAGGCATGCTTGGCAATTGGAAAAATTATCGTGTTGACGAATCCACATTTGGCAGAGAGGCCGATGTCTTCACTCTTCCAGATGCCATGATGGACAGTGCATTTCTTCCAAGCGTTTTGAGTCTGCTGATCTCAGGACCGGGGCCACTGCATTGGTCAAGGAACTAAATAAATACATACATACGTGAGCAGCACACTCTGAAGTCCCGCTACCGTACTCGCTAGGACCCTGCCAGACTAACAGAGATCACGAGCTCGATCTGTAACTGGTGTGCCAAAAGTGCGAGCCTGTCAGAACCGTGAATTGGCATACGCACAAGAGCCTTAAGGGGAACCTCGCACACACGCGAAACATCTGCAGTCTCGCCCTGGTCTCCACTCGTGCCTACTGCTTGGCCCTAAGTATCGACCTCCGGTCACCCGCGCTGAGATCCACAGGTGGAGAACGGGTGAATCATCCATTCCACCCCCGCCCCCTGTCTCTCCCCTTTCCCGTTCCACATACCAAATCAGTAAGTCCGTGCCTGTCTCCACACTGGGTTTTTCTCCTCTGCAAGCTACAGAACATTTCCTACCCGGGCCTTGACAGCGATCTGACGCTTTCTTTATATAGTACTGGCTAAGGCACATTTTTCTTCCAGGCTCCTGTCTATTTTTGGAGAGGCTGGACTGGTAGGAGGGGGTATCACCTTGAAAGGAAATGGGCACTTAAGCGAGAAGAGAAGAGTCGAGAAGAGATCTCCTCTTCTGGAGGGGAACCAGAGTCCCGGCAGGTACCCAGGATGGGCTGTTCTTTCCCACATGCTCGACAAGTGAACAATCTTTGTTTCCCGACGCACGCACGCATGCACGCACGCACTCCTGCCTGCATCCAGAAGCTGGTCTAAAGGAAGCCCAGAAAAGAGTTGTGTTCCTTCCACCCTGCGCCCCGAGGCACTGCTCCACAGAAGGACAAGCTCCTTATTCTGAAATAAGGAGGCCACAATTGTGATTGCACTGATACTGTCATTAAGGCTTCTTGGTTAACTCCATACGAGCAAACTGGCTAAAATCGTGGCAGGCTTTGTGTACAGAGAGACGCTCGTTCTCTCTGTGCAGGGGTGTCTTTCGACCGACAGATCAAACAGCCTTTGCTGGAGAAGATCAGGCCGCCCCGCTGCAGCGTGGAAGCTGGTTCGGCCTGCATTGCAACACTGGCCCTAGTCTTCCTTTTCCCTACAGGAGTACACATCACACGCAGCTCTGCAGGGTTCACTAGCAGGCGTGTCACGGAGCCCCGTAATGGCTGCCCACCCACCCAAGCGCCCCTTCCCTCCTCTCCCAGGTCAGTCCCGACCTCAGAGGGCAGCCGGTGTGGCTCTTTCCAAGCCGTCTGCGCGCCAGTTCCCGGCTCCGTGGTCAGAGTGCCACCTCCGGCCCCAGGACTGGGGATCTGAAATTCCCCAAGGCCCGTAGGATGGTGACTAGGGGGCCATGGGATCGCTCCCTTAATTTGCCTTTCTGCAACACACCTAATGTTATGTGTGCAGGTCTACAGTTTGCCCGCTTGCTGATGCATTCTTCGCATATTCTCCTCTAGGCCAGCCAAACAAGTTGAGGGAGTTTGTGCTGTTCCTCCCTTGCTCGAATTAACACCGGCAAGCTGGTGTTACGGAATGGGCTGCACGGAGCACTCTGAATTTGGAGGCTTGTGTGCTGTCAGGCTATGAGACATGGGACTGCACCCTTCATGAACCTGATTTTTTAAAAAAAAATCACCAATATAGTAACTTGACTCCTGAGGAATAAAATAGAACTTCATATGATGAGCTGGAGATAAACTTTTGCCTGTGTACCAGCCATCTATGAGCAAAATTTTCTGTTCGAACTCAGATCGATCAATTGCAGTGACTTTCAAGGACACACCTCAGTTTTGCAAATGTGCTTTTCTTGCATTTAAAAAAGACAGGGCTTTTCAGACTGTACATATACAGAAAATATCCCCCAAAACTTGAATGCTGGCAATTTTTAACATTAATTTCATTTTAGCCAAAAGGAAATGCCAAAACTGCTTTTTAAATGCTATGCATCTTTCTCTCTCTCTCTCTGTCTCTGTCTCTCTCTCTCTTTCTTTGAAAAGGTGCATTGTCAACATACCATTTGGGAAGTTGTATTGCTTGTTTATCAAGCATTTTTCTCTTTATAAAAGGAAATCTATGATAAAGTGAATATTTTACAAAGTTAAGGTTTCACTCTCAACGATTGTCTTGCTTGTATGGATTACTGTAAACTGCTCAGAAAGCTTCTCAAAATAATTAAAGAGGGGGAGGAGGAGGAAATCATTCATATTCTTCTTAGCCCCACCCTCCCAAAATACTTGACCAAGATTGCCTTAAAATATGTTCTTACTCTGTTTGTAAATGTGTACTTTTTCAAATTGCCATTGTCATAACACAAGAGTAAACTGGCTTTTTGAGAAAGCGAGCTCCATATTGGTTTTTCGCTTCTTGGGGTGCAGTCCTTTTGCTCCTCAGTGATCTGACTCTCCAGACATGGATGCTTTTGTCCTTCTTATGCTGCAACGAGGTGCAGTGCCGGTGTCCTGCCCGCTAATGGCTACAGCTGGCCATTGTCAGCTGTCTAGACAACGCACCAGGGGAGGGCCAGGGAAGGAGACCCCGGCACCAGGAGGAATCAGCAAAGCCCTCGGTTCCAGCGTGCCCCCCACCAAGTCCTCGTGCTCACCTTCTTTTCCTCCCCACCATGGTGCCCCCATGCCAGCTGGGGGGGGGGCGGTGGAGGGGCAGAGAGCCCCACCTGCAGCATCCCAGCTCAGATCACAGGGACCAGAGGTGGGATTCGGAATCATTCCATGCCCATGCCAACATTATCAAGAGGCCAACAGATTGTGTCCTGCACCATCGTAACGAAAATGCACCGAATGGAAGCCACAGCGGGCAAGAGCGGCAACAAAACCACCCAAAAGGAATCTCCTTCAGAATTGCACAGGACTAAGACGAATCGAGAAAGGTGTGCAGAGAGGAAGAGGCTCAGTCAGAACTTGCAGAAGACGATGACATCCGCAGACATACTTCCCAAAACTGCAGGAGGACTGGATTCAAATTAATTGTTTTCCTACCTAGAAGAGAGGGGAAACGGAACTGCTATCTAATCCTACACAGAGAGTCACACAGAGGAGAACAATACAGGAGGACCAAGAAATCGGCGGTTATCACGGGCAGGAAGATCGTGCAGGCAAAGTCCAAGCGAAGGATTAGTTGAATGCAGAGAGAATGAAGCCCCATGAGCAAACCCCACGAAGCGAAGGCCACCCTGCTGCATTGCAACACACAAGGAAACCGCCTCCTGCCAAGACACTGCAGTCTG